CCATGAATTCGAAAACCCATGACAAAGAAAAGGCACATCTCTCGAAAATACTAGAATAGTATGAAGACAAGAAGATCAATTTTAAAACAATTCTATCAAGAAACATACTTGAAAAAGAACAGTTTCTGCAAGATCATAAAATCCAAAAACAAGAAGCTAATTCCCCATGAATTACTCAAACTTGAACCGAAAAAAGGACACACCCTTTAACAAAAATTCCACAACGGAAAAGTGAAAAACAAATGACCACCCAAGGGTGCTTTGTACATTCGTCCAGGCTACCTATTTATAGGCTAAGATCTATGAGCTTAAGAACCAAAATTCGAAAGATCCAATGCTAAAGAAGCCACTATCAAGTGAACTAAACAAGATAGATAAGTCTAATAATTGTCACAACACATATGCAACAACTAAACAAAGAATTCCTCACAAGAACTCCACGAAAGGAATAAAATCCTAACCAATTTGATTTCACTCAGGAAAATATCAATGACACAATGTGTGTTGGACAAGAGAAATTCGGTCTCTATTTATAGAGGGGGTGGCCGAATTTTCTTCCCAAGAAGTAGAGGAAGAACACAACTCTTCATTTCTCTTCCTATCTCTAAAAATTTGAAATCAAATCAAACTCTAAAGACTCCTAGTTATCTTAAGTGATAAGATAACGAACCTAGACACTTTTACTAGTCTTAAAACATTTAAGACTATGTAGGAATTAATTAAAACTCAAAATACAAAGAGATAATCTCTTAGAAAGATTCCTATGGATAAAATCTCCCTTGAGTTAAAAATCTATCATCATTTTCTTTGTAGAGTGATCTCAGCCATGCATCTTGATGTAGTCTTCATCCAACGGTTGAGTAGACATCAAAAGTTGACTCCTTATTGTAGGAAAACTCGAAAATAATATAAAAGGAATCATCCCAAATATTATCTTTTAAAGAGATAAAGTCTTATCTTTAAAAGAGATAAAATTTGAATGATCTCACCCCTAAACTTTAGGGATCTATTCGACCTCCATAAGGAGTGTGGCCGGTGGTTCTCCTTGGACTGAGGGACGAAAATTCTTCTCACCAAATGGGCCAAATCCATTTGGTATCACTTGCAACAAATTAATAGTTTTGGGCTTGTAATGTTCAAGCTTAATTTCCTCCTAAGCCCATGTAGTAGTAATTAGACTATTAAGTGATTCATCCATCCACTTGCGTCTAGCACGAGTCATTGGTCCAATAATGTGTGAGAGTGGATCACGAATGTAAGGATTATTCTTTAAAGCAGCATCTTTAGATCCTCCATTAGCATTCACGACCTCAACTTGCTCGTCCTCTCCATTATTGGCAGCAACATATCCCTCTCTATTAGTGTTACCTCGATGGTCTCCATCAAATGGACTCAATCATGAACTCTTATCAAATATGTCGTCCACTCAAGAACCTAAAAACAATCTCTCCAGCTTGCCTGATCAAAGATCTTTATCGTTTGCACATTGAGTTGTAATCTCTTGAAACTCCCAACACTAATCTCTAAGAGTGAATCATCTCCTTCGGTTTGATTCCCAAAATTAATGACTTATTCAACAACTTGATCATAGCTCGCTTGTATCAATTCCCTATCACATAGGTAGTAAAGATCCATATTCTCCTCTTTTATTAGTCTACACAGAAAACTCCGCATCCAAAAAAAGACTGAAGAAACATCTCATTCTCCTTGAAAGGAGAACCTCCATTAAAGACCACATGATTCTCATCAATACATGCATGGTTAAAATTTCTTTCAAAATTAGTTAAACCCAAACACAAAAGGAATAAAGCATCGAGCTGCATTTAAAAAAAAAAACCAATTTTCTTATTATTTTCATTTAACTAGGTTAGTAGACTTGGCCAGTTCTTTCTTTGAGTTGGTCCACTAAATATAATACTGCATATTATTTCATGTTCTCTCTTTTCTTTTTTTTTTTTTTATTTTGTTTTATATATTTTTGTTTTTCACTGTAAAAATAATTAACACGAGGAATTGTTTTAATCATGTTCCTAAGAGTGTTTTGCCTATTAACACTCGTGCTGTTAAACTTAATTCGCCATACCTTCGTTCCTTAGACTTAAAACAAAACAAACTTAACAATGTGATAAAAATATTAATTTTTGAAACATAACTTAATGAAAGTATCAAAACATAACCAAAAGCATCTATCATTAAACTATAACTAGTGGAACTGTGTACACGTTTCGCGGGTATTTGGATTTATTAAAAATTACCAAATTAATATAATATCAAAATATATGTGAGACACAAATGATATAGAATAAAATGTTTAATAAAATAAAGAGGTTATACAAAATACAAAGATTTTTTTTTTTTTCTTTTTTGACAATATCCATACAAAACACCATTCATAGTTTAATATGTTTAATGAAAATTGATGCGAGGATAACCATCATCAGATCGCACCACTTATGTATCTCAACATCTAAATAAGTCGCCTTAAGAAGTAAGGCAAAAAAAAAAAAACCCACCAAGCAAGACAAACAATGGAAAAAGAGAACCAAAAGACACATTAACCTCTAATTGATTTAGATGGTAGCACGATTTAAGGCGCACACACAAAAGAAATCAATATACCTTTGCGATACAACACTTTAATTATTAGGATTTCTAATTTGAACATTCACATGCGTCATTTTTTTCAACTATTGTCGAACAAAATTAAGGCATGGGAATGAACTCAAATAAAATCACAATAGTTATCTAGGTAGTAGAGGAGGAAAGATCGAGCGAAAAATGAGAAAAAAAGAAAGAGAGAAGATGGACAAATAAAAAGGGTATGATTGAGTAACAACAAATGAAGTGAAAGGTTTATCACTTTCTCACATGGTAAATGATGATAATTAATAATAAATTTTAAATGAGTATATAACAATAACATTATTAATGGTATCTTTAAAGAGGAAGATAAAACATTTAAAATTGGAAGAAAGAGAAATAGTTAGACATAAGATTTAGCTTCATAATTGACTCTCAACAAGGTAAAAATTGAAATGGAGAAAAGAAATAAACCTTCGAAAGGACACAAAACTATCACCAAATTTGAAACTAAACTTTTCTTCTAACTATTTAATTAATTGATGTTTGATAATGAAGGATGAATTATTTATTTTTGAGGACTCAATTATATTGATTTTTTTTCGTGTTAATTAGTGGTGAATTTTTTTAACATATATTCAAGAGAGTAGATGACTATTGTTTATTTATTTGATGCATTGTTTTACATTAAATAATTGTTTTTTTTTTTTTGAAAAACGAAAGAGATGTGAGCAAGAAGATCAAAAGACTAAAATTTATTAACAAAAAACTAATGAAAAACTAAGAAAGTAAAAAGACTGAAATTAATAATTGAGAAAATCAAAAGAAATTAAAGAGGGAAAAATATCTTTGAGATTTTTACTAAATAAGACATCTATTTAGAGAATCATTCATCATTATGTTAATTTCATTAAAGATATTAAAAATTGTTGGTCTTTTGAAATTAAAGATATATATTTTAGGCGTTACTTTTTTTTAAAAAAAAATCACTAAAGGTTCTCCTTTAATAATTTTTTTTCCCAAAAATGTGCTTAAGAAAAAGATCAGTGTTGACTTTGGGAAATAGTACGTAACTAAATTCATCACACCACATTTGATTTATTAAATTATATAATGGCTACATATAATAAAAAATATCAACAATGTAAATAAATTATAGGATTTAAAAAGTGAATTATCTTTTAGCTATTATCTTGGAATTATTATTATTATTTTTTTAATATTATGACTATGCGATGTTAGATTAGACATTTACAACATATTTTTAATTGGTTGAGGTGTTAATACATGTGTGTGTAAAAAATAATGGTATCAGGTATCACTAATGACAAAATTGTATTCAAACCTAAAAGCTCAACAAGTACCTCTTTTCAATTGTTACTGATACGGAATACGTTACCTACACATTATGATCTTTATAACTGTAGTGAAACTTTAAAAAAGAAAAAAAAAAAAGAAAGAATGTTTTGCAATTACGACTCCAATCCTCCTCAATGATTAGTAGTACGTATAATTTTTTCAAAAAAAAGTCGGGAAAAAGAAATACTACTCCAATATATGTACGTAAGCGCACACATAGTGAAATGTTGGGTATTTTGTCGTACTGACAAAACGGGTCCCACGTACCGTACAGAACACGTGGGATGAATCATATAGAGCTCATCCCACCGGGATTTCTCGGGGCCACGAACACTCACTAAGAATTTAACAATAATTGGACAAATCACATAAATATCGCGGTTAAAATTGGACCATGCACTAAAAAAAAAAATAAAAAATTCTCAATTTCCAATTTGGAAATGATTGATGTAATTTGATATGCTTGCAAAATAATCTTCATCTAGCATCTGGGTTTCGTAGAATTTATATGTTTGTTTACAGTTTTTATAGCCCAGAATGGGTGGCATTTTTTTTAAAAAATATCAATAGTAATAAGAGAAGCAACAACGTTGGAAGTGTGATACATTAATTTTATTATCATTGTTCTAAGCAAGTGAAGTCATTGTTATATTTGACCCAAGTTGGCTGCGAGAAGCCGCTTTTTTCTTCTCTTTTCCACATCAAAACTCAGCAGCTGAGCTGCGTGTTTTGGACTCTCTTCTTATCTTCCAAACTGAGCTTGCTGTCTCTTTCACCGTTTTAGGTAATCACCAAATCACTATTTTATAATATGGTTTTTAGCAAATTTGATTTGTAGCTGAATTTTGGCAAGTGGGTTTTCCCGGGTTTCTGTATTTGTGTTAGGATTTGTTAGGAATCTTTCGGAACTGGACGTAATTTTTTGTGTGGTATTTAGTGGTTTCTTCTGCTTCGAGTGATGTTTAAGAATGTGGTTTCAATTGCTTCTTGAATTTCACCTCAATTTAAGTGGGTTCATGCTCTGAGTTAGGTATTGTCTACCTGTGGAAAAGTTCAAAGGCTACCTCTATCAGGTTAATTTTGGTAAGTGAGTAGAGTTTTGGCCTTTCGGGTTAGAAGCTCATCCATCTTTGTGTTTTCTGTTACCCCCGCCCCGCCCCCCCTTTTTTTTCTTCCATTTTCTAATTATCAAATGGATTTTCTGTAATTCAGATCATCCATCTGTCCTTAATCATTGATTTTTAGCTTAAATTATATTTGTTGGAGTGCAATTATTGGATCCCTATCTGCATCCACACAAGCTTGTCCGCAAAAAGAAAAACATTTGCTGACAGATTAATTCGTAAAGAACGTTTGATATAATCCAATTCTTGGGTTTTATGTTTCTCCTGCTCTGATTTTTCTCCACGGAACACATTTGCTTCCCAGTTTCATTTGGTTGGCTTTTCGTCTTTGTTCTAGACTTCTGGTAATGTCCTGCTGTTCAGAAGTTGATGTTTGAGTGGCCAACATAAGATCTATTGTTTTCCAGCCGATAAGTCCATCAAGCTGAGCTTTGTTTAGGAAAACTGGTCGCCTAGTAAAATTATTTCTAGAAACTGGAATCTGCTAGAAGTTTCTTTTGTCCAGGTTATGGCTTCTTTGTCCATGCAGGGTAATGAAGAAAGCCCCTTTTTATTGTATTGAAACCGATGCCTGTCAAGTGCTTGTTGTGAGTTTTTCCATATTGGCAGAGTTTTTTAGTTGTGTAGAAGATTTGTGTCCAAATAGCTGCTCCATGTTACACAAACCATGTTATTTTTTGTAGTTTCTGATTTGAAAATAACACAAACCATGTAATCTGCTCAGGACACAGAACTGTTGTCCGGCCGAGATTAGAATTCGTGAAGGGCTTCCATTCAAGAATGAATCCTCCCAAGATCAAGCGTAGAGTGGGTAAATATGATGTTGGAAGAACTATTGGTGAGGGAACATTTGCGAAAGTCAAGTTTGCAAGGAATTCTGAGACTGGGGAGCCTGTAGCCCTCAAGATTCTTGATAAAGATAAGGTCCTTAAGCACAAGATGGCGGAACAGGTTGCTGATTCACTTCTCTTTTTTATTTTAATTATGTTAATGTTTTGCTTCTTGTCAATTCTGTCTCTGCTGAACATATGTTATTTATGTACATTCATAATCATCTGCCATTTTCCGAATACTCTGCCAATCTATCCAAAATGGAAGAAACATAATTAAACAAGAGTCACACATGGGTTCCTAACATGCTCTTCCTATTCACTATAAACTAATGTTTGAACTAAGCTAATACTTGTTTGTACGCTTCTTCCGGTTTCACTTTGACTTGGAAGTCAAGGGTCATAATATTCAGTTTCGCAATGTTTAATTTGAGCTTTTCACAGATAAGACGTGAAGTGGCAACGATGAAGCTTATAAAGCACCCACATGTTGTTCGTTTATATGAGGTAATTTCTGTCTCTTTCTCAATTTTTCTATCTCTCTCCATCTGTGTTTGTACTTTGTGTACACATGAACGTTCGCTATTGCATACTTTGTAAACACATAATTTCTTGTGTGTTAACGTGGACTATGTACTGTCTTTATTAAGAAGGTTGTCTACTTGCAGGTTATGGGAAGCAAGACTAAAATATATATTGTTTTGGAATTTGTCACTGGCGGAGAGCTTTTCGACAAGATTGTGAGTTTTTTTTTCCTGACTTCCTCTTATTATGCTCGGTTTGTAAAAGAAATAATAAATAAGAAAGAAGAAAAATAGCGAGTTTTGACACGTCATGCTACTTTTGCCTATCTATCATGTAATTAGATGTCTAGCAGTCACCTCAATGCTTGTATGCTCCTGTGTTTGGCAATTTCTTTCATTACGACTAAGGTTTAATCTAATCTACATAGTTGTTAATTCATCCTTAGATGCGTAGCGGCTAACACCATATGTTTAATTGCGAAAGGTAAATCATGGACGTATGAAAGAAGATGAAGCAAGAAAATATTTCCAACAGCTTATTAATGCTGTTGACTATTGTCATAGCCGAGGAGTTTATCACAGGGATCTAAAGGTAGAAGCTGCTTGCTCGGAATAATGAAATTATAAGCTTGTTATGAGCTTTGAAGAAATTACTTTAATCTCTTCTTTGCTTTGGTCTGTGATGTAGCCGGAAAATCTGCTTTTGGATGCTTCCGGGAACTTGAAAGTTTCTGATTTTGGGTTAAGTGCACTATCTCAGCAAGTCAGGGTATGCACTATGCTTTATTGAAGTGTGTTACCATTGTTTACCCGTTTATTTATACACCCTCCATCCCAAAATAAGTGTCTTTTTTGTTGATTATTTCAGTTCAACAAACTGGATTCTCAGTTTGGGAGGGAGTACTTTTTATTACCTTCATATCTTTTACAGCTGTCTTACGGGAACGGTTTTGCCTCCTAGTACAGAATATGTGATCTTGACCTAATAAGGCGTGTGGACTTTTACCACCTAATAATTATTTCCAAACTAGAATTATTCTTCTGAATACATATGTGCTCTTTTCAGTGTGATTATTTCGTTTTTTCGCTTAATTTTATGTATAACACCAGGCTTCTTCGAATATATATTCAATGAACCAATAGTAATGTAGCTTAACAAATAATTAAATATTATATGTTTGACAATGAGTTATTCAATCTGATAAAAACTGAGATTTGTAGGGAAAAAGAAAATCTCTGCATGCAAAACAGTTTGGATTGCTAACAGGATTGTAAAGTGTGTCCTTTCATTTGTGCTGACAGAATGAAAAGGACAGAAGAGTAACTGGACTAATTCATCATGCATATTTGTGAGTGGACGAAAGGCCTATGTAGTTGTTTATTACCTAGATAATTACAGATCACCCCCATTCCTTATTATAAGAAATCAATACCTAATTTTACACATACCATAAAACTAACCAAATTTAGTTATTTGTCGCAATATGCTACAAATTTCCTAAAATTTATGCTATAAATTTCCTAAATTTACCTTATGATATTAATGATACTAGTTGAAATATTTTTTTGATTAGTTAGTTGAGGGGTACATACTGGAAAAGACTTATTTAATGCTTTCTTTAAAATGTAAAACTTCTTATACAAGGGAATAAAAAAAATCATGTTCAAATTCTCTAATAAAAAGGAATGGAGGTAGTGTTTTCTACTCTATGCACCTTAGTTTGCATATGAATTCATGTCTTCTTCTTTAATAGTTTCTTTTCTTATTGACGCTGGGTGAATGTGCATGTATGATTTATTTTGGTGTCACTATGTAGCTTTCGGGTTTGTCATAATGTGGGAACATTTTTGCAGGATGATGGTTTGCTTCATACTGCATGTGGAACTCCAAACTATGTAGCACCTGAGGTAAAAACGCTGTTTGTCTTTATTCACTTACATGCATGGCTGTTCTTTCTCAATCTGTACCGAACATGATGTACTTCTTGTGATAGGTGCTGAATGATCGAGGCTACGATGGGGCAACAGCTGACTTGTGGTCATGTGGTGTCATACTGTTTGTATTGCTTGCAGGATATTTGCCTTTTGATGATTCTAATGTTGTGCACCTCTACAGAAAAGTAAGCTCATATAAAATGTTCTCAGTTTGATTTGATTTCCCTATTTATCCTCATCCACTTATTTCATATTGCAGATTTCTTCTGCAGAATTTACTTTTCCTCCGTGGCTATCATTTGGTGCAAGAAAGCTTATTACTCGAATCCTGGATCCAAACCCGATGACGGTAAGCATGCTAAATCTGAACTATTTGTATCCTTTCTTCCTCCATCTGTAGCTTTCCTTCTTGCAGCCTAGAATCAAGTTTCTGGTGTCCAACCTACATCTGGCATTTTATGATTGTTGTTTCCTGCCTTCATGTTCAAGTTTCAACTATGTTTCCTGCTTTGTGCTTCTTCGTGAGGCGTAAAACAAACATGTTAGAAAAGTGGCTGATAAAATTGAGTTCATTCACAATTAGGTTATACCTCTTCACAGTTTTTTGCAAATGGACATAGTAGTACAAGAAAGGAGCTAATGAGGTTTACCTTTGACTTCTTTTAAAGTCTTGTCCAGCCACGAAAGTTTCAGAATTGAAAGCCATGTGATTAAATTCTTATTTGAAACACAAGACTCAAAATAAAATAAGAAGCTACATCTCAGGAGAGCTGTTAGTAGTGTTCATTAGGGGCACTATACATGACTTCTCTCCTACGCAGAAGTCCATCTAGGAAGTTGAGGAACCTAAAAGTCCAACAATTGCTAATTCCGACTGCCTCTTTTTATTCAAACGGGGAAAATTGTCCTCTTTGAAATAAAATGGGAGTTGTTGAGAACATTTAGAGGGAATATTGCCTTATTTAGGGCACATTTGGCATGAAAGATAGATTTTGACAAAACTGAAACTTACAGATTTTTCTCTGAAGATTGAAATACAGGGGTAAGGCTGTGTACATCTTGACCCCCCAGACCCCAACCGAGTTGGGAATATACTGGGTTTGTTGTTGTTGTTGTTGTATTTAGATTACCCTGGTCTGTCATTTCAAGACATTCTGTCTAGGATGTGTTGTTTGAAATTTCGAATGTTGAAGTTGAGATATCAAAACAGTGCGAGAAAAGCTTTCTAACATTCGCTTTGCAAAAAAGTAGCCAAAAAGTGTTTATGTCTCGACTTTGAGTCTGGAATTGCTGATCATTGTTGTCCTTTATGGTGGAAGTTCACTTTTATGCTTGAGGACATCGAAGTTCTGAGCTGTTAACATAATGGCATAGATGAATGAAGTAAAGCCTTCTGAACCTCGTAAACAAAGATTCACTTTGAAAATAATTTTTTCATCATTTTCAACATTTTTTTTTTCCTAGTTATTATGAATTTGTGATGAATACGAAGATTGGTGATCCATTTGAGGCTTCCTCCTAAGTATAAACAGTGTGAAAATCTAACGAAAGATACAGCAACAAGAAGCCCTTTCTCACTATGTGGGATCGGCCTCTCAAAATTTTAAAAAACTTTCCCCAAAACAATTTATAATAAGGAATATCCGGGCTGGCATCGCCTGTTACATACAGTCCATGAACAATTATTAGAGCATCTATATCGGTCATTCTGAGACTTCTCTTGTTTGTTGGTTTTTTTCCCCTTTTTAAAATTTCATTTATTTATTTATTTTTACATTGTGATTTTTTAAATTATTTTGTAGTGCTTATCCCGGGATATTTAAAGTCGCACCTGTATTATGTGTTGATTCTGTAGAGTTTCCGCTTTCTTACGTCTAGCCTATACTGAGGTTTTTTCCCTCTCCGAGTTGACTCCGACGAAGATTGGATTTAGAAATGAATACCTAACCCTTCATACCGGGTCTGTACATAAAATAGGTCATTACTTGCAACTTGCGAGGACTATTTCACTGCAAAGTATTGAAATTGTTGCATAGAATTCGCCAGTTACTGGGGTAGCACATCTGCATGATATTCACCAGTAACTTTCAAGACTTTTGCACTTAAATCTTTTGGCTTAAGGACTTCCAGTCAAACTAGTAAGCATCAGGTCTACTAAATTATTAACTTCTAGTTTTCGCTCCCAGGTTTCTGTGGTTAGTGCTGATGTAATGATTCACTGCTTACCTAGTAATCTTTTTTGAGTGTCGAAATACAGCTCTGGTTATGTTTACAATCTGGTGTGGTTTACATATAATGTTCATCTTATGTACTTTAATCTTGAGTCTTCATCATTATGCTCTTATATTTAAGGGTGTGCTAAATGTGCAGCGCATTACAGTCTTGGAAATTCTTGAAGATGAATGGTTTAAGAAAGACTATAAACCACCCGTGTTTGATGAGAAAGAAGATATAAACTTGGATGATGTTGAAGCCGTTTTTAAAGATTCTGAAGTGAGTTCGCCTAATATATCAATTTACCTGTTTATAGTTTATTTCATCATCTGATTAGTACAACTTTTTATATCTCCAGGAGCATCATGTTACTGAGAAAACTGAAGAGCAACCGGTTGCCATGAATGCATTTGAGCTGATATCAATGTCCAAAGGATTGAATTTGGGGAATCTATTTGATCAGGTTGCAATTAGTGATCTTCTCCTTTCCTCTCCCCATTTGAAGCATAAATATTAGTTGCTCCATGAAATGAAAACATAGCTAAGGCAGATACATGCATAATCGGATTTAAAATTGTTGACAAAAATATTTCAGATAAATGTAAAATACAATTAATGAACATCTGTCGACAGACTTTCTTTTTGGCTGTCTTGGATTTCTTTTCTAAAACCTTCCTTTTAGATCTTTCTAAAGATCGGCAACCTACCAACGTCTCTTGACTGCATAATAATGATTTTTCAGCCAACTTTTTTGTAGTTGATTCATACAACTAGGACCTTTTGGACCAAATATAATTGTCATTTCTTGCCATATAATTGTGTCATTTCTTGCCGAAGATGAGCTAAGCTATATCAATCTTTAGTCATGCCACTTATTCTCTTGTTTAGGTATCTATCTTTTTTAAAACTGGGCAAATGAATGATTTAGGCACTTCTGGTTTGAAAATACTTAAAAATCTGCTCTAGCAGCAGAGTTTCCCTGGTCAGGAATCTTGATTTTTTTTTCTTTTTTCTGATGAATTTATTGCAGGAAATCAAGAGGGAGACAAGATTTACATCAAAATGTCCAGCTAATGAGATAATCAGCAAAATTGAAGAAGCGGCCAAGCCCCTTGGCTTTGATGTTCAAAAAAAGAACTACAAGGTGGTTTCAAACTGAAGCCTGACTTGAACTTCATTTCTGTACAGTCTAATTGCTTCTCCCTCTGTCCCAGAAAAGTAGTCCACTTCATTGAACTAAAACAGTCCAGCAAAGTGGACTGTTTCTCAGAATGGAGGGAGTACTTAACATATTCTGATCCTAAAAACTTAAATTTCAAGGAAGATTTCTTATGTTAAACAGAAAACTTATTGTGCATCCCCTTCAATATTTGCTCGCAGATGAGACTTGAAAATATTAAAGCAGGAAGAAAAGGGAATCTCAATGTTGCCACGCAGGTATAAAGAATGAACTTCATTTTTTTTTTGTTTTTTTTTCCCAGTTTCTATTCGGGGTTTCAGAGTGCTTTCAAGTTCAAATCTTGTTATTGAACTTTTGGATCAGGTATTCCAAGTTGCACCTTCTCTTCACATGGTTGAGGTCCGCAAGGCAAAAGGGGACACTTTGGAATTTCACAAGGTACTTTGTTTTGACCATCAAATAAGCTACAGTCATGCTAACCCCATATGGATATTACCTCACCAAGTTCATAAATGTATGGCTATGTATGAATCGTACTAGAAGAAAGGGCAAACAACATTTAGAATCTGCATAAACTTAGTTTCAGGTTGTTCGATAATGGGGTACAATTGGACATGAATGGTACACAATCAGCAAGACATTTTTTATTTAATTTTGAGTGGCCCTAAAGATAAACGAGTAAAGTGCTTAAAATTAGTTATGTTTCTATACCATGCAGTCTGATATTAAGGCGTATTATTTTGATGAAAGACTAGCCTTCTCATCATCTGTGTTATGCGTTGTTGACAGTTCTACAAGAATCTTTCGACCTGCTTGGAGGATGTTGTTTGGAAAACAGAGGATGATATGCAAGGAACAAAAACGTCTTAGCTGTATGAAGATATCTAGTGATTATTTTTTTCTTTCAAATTCCTTGGTCAATTTTTGCAATTGCCTTGGTCTCATTCTTTGGTTTGTTGTTTTCTTTTATGGGATCCTTTTTTTTCTTATCTCCCATGAGAGAATTTACTTTGGAAGGCTTCTCAGTTGATTGTGCCCATCCATTTTGTGAATTTAGGAGACTGGTTTCATTAGATCACTTCTAAGACTCATAATTCTATTTACTAATCTTGAATTGGTGTATTTGGCTTCTGTCAAATAAGTAAATAGATAGAATCACTTCTATTTTTTCTAACTGCTATCTAGTTCACAATTCTCTTCTAGCATTTTCATTTTCTTGGTTCATCAGGGTCTGTCTCTGCGGTATAAGAAAGTATACACCCATTTAGGCATGAAGAGTAGGAAGTATCTTGGTTCTCAGCTCACTTTTACACCTGATTTTTAGGGCTAAGCAGATTCCTCGGGAACAGCATTTTGATACTTACTCGGGCTGTATGTTTGGTTGGCACTGTCGTTTGGCATTAGCGCCTCCTCAATGTCCGCGAGTACCTTTGTCATAGCTGGTCTTCGCTTAGGATTCTGGTCCAGGCATGACAATGCAACAGCTGCGACAGCTTGCGCTGATTTCTTAGAGTATTGACCCGGTAATATCTATGTCCATTACCACCTTGATAACTTGACCATCATTGAGGAATAATGGTATTGTCCAATCGACCATACTTTTGCACTTGTGTCCCATAGTCTCATTCCTACTGCTATTTTTCCTGATAATAACTCTTAATAAAACGGTCCCCAAAGCAGTACACATCACACTCTGAATACCATATACCTCAGCAGAATTTTTTCAATTAGTAAAAAACAAACTGAATAGAGTTGCATGACAAGAGCTAACAGATATTCCCTGATGAGTTTTTATCCCTATTTGTAAGATATTGTAACATACTTCTGGACTAGAAATCCACTCCATATCAAAAAGGAAAACCAAATATAAAAGAGAAAATTGGGGGAAAAAGTCTGATCTACCTCTAGGCGAGAATAAGGATTTTCATGCAAGGAGGAGTGCAGGATAACCTGTGTTATTAATATTCCTCCATCCAAAACGATTATCTAGTTTAATTTTTGATTTTAGTATAAATGATTGGCGCAGAGAGAGTATGTTTTGCTGCAACACATAACACGGAGCTTACGCTCCCAGATTCTGATCCCCTCTCTGTCAGAGAACTGAGATTGTTAGGTGAATGCTGCATAATCTACAAGCTAACATTAAAAGTATCCAGTTTCCCCGCGTTGGAAAAAGAACCTTATATGAATACATAAATCTTAATATTGAAGTCAGAGCTGGCTCAAGCCAATAAGGGACCTAAAGCAAATATTTGAAATGTGGACTTTCGGAATTAGTTTGAATTATTTATATTTTATTTATATTTATTTATTTATTTAATTTTGTGTATGCTATTAAAGCAATCATCCTTTTCAGTATTGAAATCGATAGGTATGATCTGAAGTTTATATATTAATGTTAGTGGAAAAAGAACAATACAAGTATATAATCATAATACAACTTTTATTTATTTCTTCTCCGATTTCATTATGTAACAAACTAAATTTTTCACTTAATAACAAACAGTCCACATTGAGTGTTGAGGTTTTTATGACTATTTATTGGGGATAGGAAGATTAATAATTAAAAGATAAACTAATTAAACAATAAAAGATACTATACGGACATTAGAACTTAAAAAAAAAATGAAATTAAAAAAAACTCACATAATTTTTATTTCACGTAATAGTTTAAAAAAGATTTGTAATATGTATACATGATTGGGAAAAAAAATATAAACAAAGAGTTAATCACAATATTGTGAGAAATCATCCAATTGATTGTTGTAGTAAGATGATGATAAAATTAGTGATTAAGGTTAAGAATAAAAGTTAATTAATTAAGTGAGATAATTTTTTGTGACAAGAAATTTTAGGATTTGTTATTATTTAATGTTAAAATAAATTTATATAAAAAATTAGGTCCTAAATTAAAAAATTAATATATTTTTATTATTCTATCTTTTCAAGTAATTTAATTTTTATATTTTAAATTCCATACAAATAGAAAAGGCCCACTAAAATTGGGGGCCTAAAGACCTAGCTTCTCTAGCTTTATGCTAGAGCGGCACTGATTGAAGTTGATCAATGCAAATAAACTTTGTGCATATCATGATTTTTTTAAAAAAGTACATATCATGATTGAAATGTGTGATGTGCCAAAAATTGATAGAAAATTGGGATTTCTACAGCGCTTATGAAGCCTAATTAATTTAGTATCCATACATACAAAAGGGGGAGGGAGAAACGAAGCCTAATTTAGTCGAATTCCACAAATTGGTGGAAAGAGAGGAGGATCATTCTTAACTGACAACCTGAATGTGTACCAAACAACCAAAAACCAAATCTTACCAATTAACTTTGCTGGGTTTCCCAGAGTCCCATCATAGCAATAGCTATTCTTTTTGGCTTCAAATCTCAGAATCGGAAAAATGAGAATGGGGTAGCGTCGAAATTCAGGAGAAGAAAATGGAATGTGCTCGTGGGAATAATTTCGGCATGAATTTTGCATAGTAAGTACCTGTCCAGGAAAAAAGTTAAAAAAACTATAAAATAAAATAAAATAATAATAATAATAAAACAAAAAATAGTACAAGCTTCAATAGTAAAAACTTCAAATTATTCATTCAAACCCCCTTGGTATCAAAAAAACGATCTACACAGGATAGAGGGACTAAAAATTAGTGCTTCATTTAATTCAGAAAACTTAAAATTAAAATAAAAATAACAAACTTCTTACTTTGTCTAGGGTTTGGTGAATTTTTTTAAATATATGTCGTTTTCACAAATCGAGGTAAGTTTGACCACTTTTTACCAATGTTACTCCTGTATTGGGAATGAAACAATATTTACAATGAATTTCTATTGGTTTGTGATGAATTATATAGAAAATAAATAAGGATATTTTTGCATTTTAACTACATTATTTAATATTTTCTTGGTTTTGATAAATTCTCTAGAAAGACATATAAAAAAAATGTAGTATTACTCATTATTGCTTAAAGTTTATAGTAAAACTAAATTACCTCTTAATCGATTAAGAGGTCAACTTATTTATCATCAAACACTCTAAAACGAAATAACTTCTCTTAATTGAATAAATTTAAAACACTAAAGTGATGTATTCAAAACAAACCCTAAACCAAGAATCAAAGAGTGATGGAAAAAAAGAAAAGTACAATCTATATTATAATACAACTAGACAAAGATTAATTGCTGAAAAACAATGTAGGTAATCAATGGTGAGACTATGATGATTAATACTTCAACATATTGAAAGGCTGGCTATCGATCCAACCCTCAGAATCAATATATTTCAAGTCTAAGAACTTCTTCAACATCCCACCACTCAGATTGTGCTCCCATTTCACTCTTCCGGTCTTGTTAGCTCCCGGTCCCCGGCATTCGTGCTCAGCAAACGTTAACTGGTGTCTGCACATGCAGAAATATCGTACAAGTTACATACACAACACAAAGAAACTTATCTCAACTTGTTAGACTACTTATTTGGGTTCATTACTTTTTTTTTTTTTTTTTTGAGAGGAAGCAAAGAGATCGTACTCTTTGCCTTTAGAATTCCATGGGTGCCATCCTTCAGGAATAACAATATCTGACATTGTAGTGTTGTAAAAGATAACCCTAGAATAGTCTCTCCATGGTCTTCCTAGATAGGTCTTTCCAGTGCCGAATATGTTGCAATCTTTGAACACAAATCCATTTGTATCATTTGATTGGCTTCTTCCCTGTGCTGTGATGTATCCGGGCCATCCACGCAAAGGCCGAGTTACTACTGAAATAGAGCATCTCTGCCCACACAAAAAAGTAAAAAATAAAAAAAATCCACCCGATAACATTAATTAATACGCTTCTGTCACACAATAATTGTTCTGTTTAGGAAAAACAAGAAAAAAAAAGGGCAAAATGTTCTAGAACAATAAATAAGACAATGTGTATTATTTATACCTCGTAAATGGACTGACCAGCGCCAAAGATGAAATCAGCAGCACCTTGGATGGAGCAAAGTTTGAAATAATGTCTGCCTTTGTTATCCCATAAGGTATCTTGCATTCCAAGAAATCCACATCTGTAGAATGCCGATTTGTCTCCCATGATATTTGCGGCCAACGCTACCGCAATCGGGCTCTTGTTCTCAGCCGGAGGATAGTTGTGAGAATTCTGTTTACCATACAACAAACAAACTTATTATCATATTATAGTAAGAGTTTTTCAGTGTTACTTTTTCTTTTTATACGCGGAAATATATGAATGATGCAATAAAAAGCAAAAAAAGGGTTTGAAACTTACAACGAAGGTCATGCTTTTGATAACAATGTTATCAGCTAAGGAGGTTAAAGTAGCAGTACCCACAACTGAGCCATGGGCACCCGAAACAACCCTAGTTTTCCATTTTCCTTCACCTTGGATATAAATGTAAGGTTTGTCCACAGGAATCTCAATCTTTTCTCTGCATTCAATTCATTAACAACAGACAAATCAATCAGAAATTAAAATGTGTCGAATAAATCTTTTTGGTATATATATTGCGCACGCAGTTTTGAAATAATATCAATAATTTTGAATTAAAGATAAAAGGATTAATTTATACTTTAGTGATGAAATTGAGGTTTTCATTGTACTAGCTTGAGTTAAAAAAAAAATAAGACTAGTTCTACTTTATGCACTAAGATGTTAATTCGATTCTGTAACATCTCAAACCTAAATTAAGGGCTAAAACTAAAACTTTTTGCCACGCAACAACTTGATAACTGGTGTTCTATGTTTCTTAACTTCAAGTAAAAAATCCAGTTTAATTAACAACTAAAACAATCTCAAAGGTTAATAACTATAACTAAAACTCTTGCCTCAAATCAATAGGTTGTTTCTATGATATCTCACGTTCAAGTAAAAGATCTATTAAATTAACAACAAATTCAACACAATCTCAAAATTAAGAACTAAAACTAAAACTAATACTCTTGCCACATGTCAACTTGAATTGGTGTTATATGTTTCTTAAGTAAAAGTAGAAGAAATTATTATTATTATTATTGTTATGTATATATAAAAAAAAAAACTTAATCAGGGGACCTCTTCGTTCAAAAGGATACGATCAGAGTCGATTGAATTTTCCTATACACATCATAGTGTGTCTTGTCAAATAAAATTTTTTAAAAAAAAGAAAAGAAAAGAAAAGTACATTGGAACGAAGTTTAGTCATTCGTATATATACCTGTATGTACCAGCATGGACGTAAATACGAATCCAATCTTTATTGTTTGAAGGAACACGATCAATTGCAGCCTGAATCGATGTGAAATTTCCCTCTCCAAGTACTCCCAATGGATGAACATATATTGTTGGATAGGAAGACGCCAATAACTTCTTGCTGAATTCACAATTTGCTTCTTGTAAAAAACACCCAAAAAGAAGAAGAACACAAATTGAAGACAAACAAATTTGACTATGAGACATCTTCTATAGAGTTTAACGAGAGAAAAACGAAAAGAACTATGAATATTACTGGTTTCAATGGAGATATAGAAACTCTTGGACAATTTTTATGTGAAAAAGACGGAGGACAAATTACCCTAAAAAAGGTATGTTTGAAACTTTTACTTTGTTGCATGGAAATAAAGGAAGGTAAATCGTGTCATATAATTCCATATTTGTAATAAGAAAATGGTAATAAAATATATTGGAAATAGTTTGCTGCTTATTTTAGTTTTTGTTTTACTGTTTTTCGTCTTATCCTAAGTTACAATTATTTGGGAATCAAGCTAATAATAAAAGAGAAATCAATTTCCCATAGTGAAAGATTCTTTTAGACGAATTACACGGTATGTTACTTAATTCTGGGGATGGAAAGCATATAATAAGCTCGATATCTTTTGAGCTAATTGATTATGTAAATTGATCAGAGATATTCGTGAAGGAAAAATTTACATAAAATTTTAACATAGAATGAATTTTAACTTTTCATATTTATACTTTTCCTTTTAGAATTTACCTATTTAAAAGTTAAGAGATAATTAAAATTTAACAAATAGAATGCCCTATTAAATTTTCCTTGCACTCATTGGTTAAGTAAGCCGAAAATAAGGTAAGTTCAATATTCTTCCTATGGGGTAATCACCTCGCCAATAGGACTAAGACACAGGTTTAACCCAAATCTTAGGCTTGCTATAGGAGCAAGAATTTAACAAGTACTTTTTTTGGCTAACATCAGGAACCCACCAAAGATATTAAACTTAGGTACACTGCAATAGTCTGCAAACCACGGTGAGAAGTAAATCACTCTAGGCAAGTCGAGGTAAATAAATTAAAAACTAACAATTACCTAATGCAAGAACTTTCAATTTATTTTATTTATGTTAGAGACGAGTCCAAATTGAACCCTAGGCCTATTGGGCCTAGGATTAGATTACTTGGAGATTAAACCACCCCCTAAACATATTTCGCTAGGGTTTCAGGGAACAGGTTATAAAGAGGTGGTGTCTCTCTCATAATACATATCTTTTACCTATTTTCTACAACTTCTACACATGATACACATATCTCTCTCTATTCTCTCTATTCCTTTATTGACTTAAGCATCGGAGAGTTTACCCTCGGAAGACACCCAAAACTCTGTCTTGCAGGTTTAGACCGTCCGCCGCCGCCCGTCATAAAGCACCGTGCAGATTCATGCTTCGTCAAGTGGCACGTGCAGTGGGACCGGTTTGTTTGGTCTTCACAGCCAAATAAATTTCTTGGAAGAAGTTGAAATCTATTGGTGCTTTACGTTCATTTGATTTTGAAGCAAGGGTCAATTTCGAAGATTGGAGTTTCGAGAGATACATCTCCTTGAAGGGGCAACCATCTCTCGAGCACCTTACTACTATTCGAAGTGTTCGAGAAGACATATCTCGACTTTGTTCTACTCAACTACTACCTTCTCGTAATCGAGGTAACACCTTCTCGAATAACCAATTTATCTCGAGATTGAGATACTTCTCAAACCTTTTCTAATATGCTTCTCGAATCTAAGTTTATCTGCTACTGATATCATAAGTATATTACTACTATTATATCACAATATCTTTTTTTAAGCACGATCAAAGGAATCTTTCGAGGAACCAAACCTCTAGGAAAAATTCCCATCACCCTGCAATGAGGAAAATCACCTCGGGGCTGCCTTCAATGAGGAAAATGTACTCGGGCCACAAACTGGAAAATAACCTAGGGGCAAGGAACTTGAGGGATCATCCTAACATCCTCTGCTTGAACTGATATTCCTCATAATCATCCTATTATTATTTGTCATTACATTATTGCATTATATATTACATCTCGAACATCCAAATATATAGGGTTCCTCCCTTTAAATAAGGAAATCCAGGCACCATCCTCCCAATTCGACATATACAGGCTTCCACCTCCTAATCAGGAACTCATTAACATAAGACCTCCTCGAGGCATTCTACTCTCTTTATCTTATATAGGTGACACCCGAGAATGAAAGAGTTCAAGAATTTGGACAACACCACGAAACTCGAGAAGAGATCAACACTCGTAGCAACCCATATCCTTCTCAGCGAACCTCGAGAATATGGCTTGCTAGGGGCACTTGACGAGTCCAAACTGAACCCTAGGCATATTGAGCCTAGGATTAGGTTACTTGGAGATTAAGCCACCGCCTAAACTTATTCTGTCAGGTTTTCAGTAAACATGTAACACCATCTCTATATAAAGAAGTGGTGCCTCTCTCATAATTCATATCTTCTACCTATTTTTCTACACCTTCTATACACGATACACATATCTCTCTCGCTCTATTCTCTCTACTCCTTTCTTCGCTTAAGTATCGGAGAGTCTGCCCTCGGGAGACACCCGAGACTCTATCTTGTAGGTTTTAGGTCGTCTGCCGCCGCCCGTCATAAAGCACCGTGCAGATTCATGTTTCGTCAGTTAGTACTTACCCTGTATGATTGCACGAATTTTGAATTTAAATTATATATGCAGTAATTTTGTTCGTATATGAATTTAATTAATATCTCAAATTAATAAATATTGTAGTAATAGGAAAACTATGTCATTTATAAAAAAAAAAAATTATTGTATACAAAAAGTTTTATGGTAATCAAAATGTACATTGTTCCTATTCATAAGAATGGAGATGGCTAAGAATCCGCTCTAAAATAACTCTACCAATATTTGACTAAAATCCACCAAAAAAAAAAGAAAAAGAAAAAGTGATTATCTGTAGCATAAAGATAAAAGTTTGGGTGAGCTAAACTTGATTAGCCCAGATGGTTTAATTCTCAAATATGATTAGCCGGAGTCAGCAAGGGCGGAACTAGAAATTAATGTCAAGGGGTGCTCAATTCATAATTAAAAAAAAAGCCAATGATTGCAAATCATATTCAAAAAACATGTCTAAAAATTTTTTATACATGACATGTGCACGAGACACAATGTTTGCTGCGCGATTGGTCAAGCGGTGGAACTGAAATCTTCTACTAGCCATTTTTTGAAACCACTGCAGAATAGCTTCAGTATCAGTACTTAGAAAACTTTCTCAACGTAACACACCATGCAATCCGTCAAAAGTTCATCTCCTATCTTATTGCGCAGATTATTTTTTATAATCTTCACTGCTGAAAAAGATCTTTCAACTATCGTTGTTGCAATAGGCAGAACTAGTGCCAACTCAAGGAGACGATAAACTAAAGGATAAGTCGTGTGATACTTGTACTCAAGCAACTTCTTCGCTAGATTTCCAATGTTATCAAGATTAGAAAAAGGTGCACCACCATCCAGTGATTTCATAGTACCAATATACTGGTGAAGTTCATTGTTTAGCGCAGCTTTTTCACTGGTTTCAAAATCATCTGCATATAACTCAGCTAGACGGACTAACTTGCTATGATCAAAATTAGAAAATGAATAACTAGGATCCAAACATTTCATGCATATCCGTAACTCTGAATTTGACTCCGCAAAATTAAAATCCATTTCTTTGACAATAAGATCAAGAACCTAGTATTATACAAAAACAAATCAATAATTCATAATGTAAATAGATTTGAAACTACATTAATATGGAAGAAGGAGAGTTAAGTATCTCAAAATAGATCTCTTGATGGAAAAAGTGGAAGTAGGTCATAAGTGCCCCATCAACTGTTCTTTGAAAGCTAATTCTGCCAGGCGAAACATCTTCCATATTAGGCACAATGATGTCATGTTTTGAGCAAAACGTAGTGACATCATCCAACAACTCCTTCCAATCATCATCAACATCCCTGCATTTTGTCAATTCATTCTTCACCCTTTCAAGCAAAGATAAAGCATGGACTATGTTCTGATTTTTTTGTTGCAAGGCCTCTGATACTTTATGTGTTTTTCCCAGTAATGCTACCATTAGGTGAGCAATGAACACAAACTCAAAACTTACCATTTCTATAACCAAACCTGCAGCAGTACCTTTATTTTTTCTCTCAACTGCATCTTTGTAAATAGTTTCAAGCACCTCTTTTACAGTATCCCACATATATAAAAGCCGAGTGATTGTTTTAAAGTGAGCCCCATCGAGTATCACCAAGCCGAGCTAAACTTGTTGCTTAATTTTTACCTTTTTCGTAATTATTTCACCACTTTCTAAATGTTTTACAAGATCATCAAAGTGTTTTTGTAGAAGCGTATCTGATGTGAATTTATCCGGCCAATAGTGAAAACTAGAGGCAAAATAAATCCTAGTGCACAAGACAATATAGATCTTACTTGAATTATGCAGAACCTTGCCCAAGGACTTTATTCGTGCCCCAAAAACACAAAAACCACGAAGAACACAAAGAAGGTTGAGCCACAAAAAACTCTAACAAAAAAGGAATGGAAATATAGAAAAGAAGAAAAGTGATGTTGATGCTATCCCAAGAGTAATGACTCTAACAATCTCCGCCTAAAGATTATGACGACGATGGATAGATGTGCTCCCTTACAATGACATCTCTAAAGAACTCCACAAACAAGGACACTACTCTTGAATGCACGTTCGCTACCTTATGCAAAATACTAGATCTTGCAAAAGGCCAAATAATCTCACAAGGTCAAAGAAACAAGGAGATTCCTCTCAAGTTTGTATTGAATGAATTCATCAAAAAGACTACCTTCAAAAGCTGGCCAAGCACCCCTATTTATAGTAGAGTGGGCCGAAAATCCTCCTAAAAAGTAGGAGAAGAATTTGATCTCTAACTGTATTCCTACTTTAAAGAACTAGAAATCAAATAAACTTCTAACTCGACAACTTATGTCTTATCTATTAAGGCAATGTAACTAGAGACCTTTATAGACTTAAGACACACTAGTCTAATGAAAATAAAAATCCAAATATAAAAGATATTCTCTCAAAAGAATCTTATCTTTATCTTGAAAAGAATCTTCCTGAGTTGTCAACTCTATGAATATCTTCTTTGTAGAGTAATCATAGCCATCCT